TTCTTTCTTTCTTTCTTTCTTTCTTTCTTTCTTTCTTTCTTTCTTTCTTTCTTTCATAATGCTCCATTCTTGGCATACTGTCTTATCAAGGAACACATACTGTTATTTCCCTTAATATTTCACTGATATTTGAAAGTGTGTTGGCATGTCTATGTGCTGTGGAGAAGGAGAAAAAAAATCACTTTTTCATGTTGGCACATTCAAAGAAACAACAAATCCAGTTATTTGTAAAATGGGTTTTATATTATCAGTTATTTTCTCTATTGTTTTCCATTTTTCAACAAGCAATCTCTTTTAGTAAACCATCTAAAGCAACGAAATAACTATTAAATAACTTCTCACTTGGTTTTCAAAGGCCACCTAGATTAAAGAATCAGGAAATCCAAGATGGACTCAGGGGGGGTTCAGATATTAAGTGATATTACCCAATTTTGAGGGGATGAGTTCAATGGAACTCATTCCACAATTCCACAACAGTGCTAAACATTTGATTCAGAGAAGCCTGAAAATTAGCTGACAAAAACAAGGGATAAGTGTGGGGGGCAGCATTTGTGAAATGAAGGGAGAAGAAAACCTCTTCCTGGTGTTAAAAATGCCAGAGGAGGCTGTCCGGAGATAAACAAAGCAAATGAAGTGAAGCAATGGAACCACTTCACTAGCTTTTAGCAGCAAGGGAAACATCACTTTGTGAGGCTGCTTCAAGGGAAACAGAATAACAAAGGAATTCAAACATGATACTCTAATACCTACAAAAATCAAAATTTATCAAAAAGGGTAGTAAGAACTTTCGACTTGTCCTGGGTTTACTTACATTAATTTTAGAGTAAGCATATGTGAATTGGTAAGGTATTTGGAATCATCATTTTGCAAAAGGTAAGCTGAATTTCTTTGTTCCAATTCAATGTATTGCTGACCAAAGGTATTTGCTATTGATATTTTGCTCATTCAACTCTTAGGGACAGCAAATTGAAAAATATTGATGCTCTGCTCAGATTTGGGTTTTTTGCACATAATACACCAACGTATGAACATGCAGAAGCTCCATAATCAACCCTGACTCCAACTTGTAGTTCTTCAGCCACTAACATTCCTTTAATCTTGTTGGCTTTTGAAATTAAGATAGATGGTTAAATCCCCATTCTAGATACTTGTCAAAACTTGCCTCCTTCCTAACCCCTTGTTAAAGAGATTAACTGAAGAATATTTTCCCTTTTGACTGGGGATGTTTACTGGGAGTACAAACAAAGCTAGGGATACTCACCAATTGCTCACCTTAACTTGTGAATCTGTAAAGGCAGCAAAACATCCTACTGAGGCAGAATGGAGCTCAACAGTCAAAACAGTGCAGAATACAGTATGCGGACATTCTTTTCTGCCACTTTAAAGACTGGAGAAAAGAATTTTAATGTGGTTGTGAGGAAGCGCCCCAGTATTACACAAAGGGCAAACAAGTTTAGTCAATTGTATCAACATCAGGACAGATGATTAAAAACTAATAAATGTAGCATAAGTTGGTCAGATGTGCAGAAAAGTACAGTAGCTGCTATCTTCCAAAACACAAAAGTTGAGGGTCTTCCTGTGTCTCCCTCCCCCCCAGCAATAACAATATTTTTATATTTTATATGAAAAGCTCCCAATTAACATCACATTTCTGCTAATGATCATTTGTCCCATGTAACTTTTAAACATTAATGACAGGAAGGATTAACAATACCTGCTGATTTTAGGTTGCTGATAACATGGTTCATACAACTGTAATCATCCAAACATTTCCAGGAAGGAATGCTGTGTAATCTAGGAATTATGCTTTTACTGTTTAAGGCCCTGCAGACTTTTCCATGTCAACACTGGGTCCATCTCTGTGATAGAAAAGAAATGTGTGGTTGGCCCTCAAGCAGGCTGTGTAGGAAAATATTTTTTGTCAGAGACTGTGTGTTGCAGTTGCTTTGAAGAATCACAAAAATCATCAGCTCAGCTATTGTTACAAATTATTATTGTTGGTCGCACAGTCAGCCAGATGTTTAGACTGGATCTGGCATTTTTATCTACCTATCAAGTCCTTCCCAAGGATCTGGGATAGGCAGATGTTGTTGTTAGATGACGTTAAAGGTATCATCGTAGATTGTAAGCTGTTCCAAGTAAAGCTGCCTTTTGCAATTGACTGATGGTGATTTTGTCAATGTTGTTGTTGTTGTTGTTATCATTATCATCTAGACTGCTATCCCCCTTTCTCTTGGTGCTTACAGCAATACATATAGCACTTCCTCCTCCCATTTTTTTCCACAACAGCAACCTTATGAGATAGGTTGGGCAAAGAGAGAAGGAGAGGTCCAAAGTCAGTCAATGAGATGCTATGGATGAGGTGGACTTGAACAAATGTCTCCCCTTTTTTAGTCCAAGACCTTAACCACCTACACAATGTAAGACATGGTTCATAATGTAATCTCTGTCATCTATTTATATGAACAGATGGTAGCATGTGCTGGCCTTGTTCTTTTGCTTGATTTTGCATATCTATTCTCTCCTTTTGGAACTTAAGGTCATATCTTGAGTATAACTCAGTACTGGATGAATTGACGGCTCTTGACTTCTTCAGAAGAGGCCCTGTGAATAGCAGGAAGCCCAAAACTGATTCATTTGGTCCACTGACAAAAACCTCTTCCATGCCATATAACCTCTTGTTTTACAGGATGCATTGTGGACTTTATATTGGGTGATAACAATCCAGGAAATACTGTGTTTACAGATTAGCATATATCTAAAAGAGGGATAGGAAACTTGGTAACTTAATGAAGTTTCAGACTTCAATTCCATTAGCCCCAGCTATTACAAGTATTGGATTGTGGAAGTTATATTCCAAAACACCAGATAGGCTATCTCTGATCTAAATGGTTTGCAGTGGAAATTGTGAGTAAAACTGTAGCTAGACTTGCCAACTTTTCATGTTAAAATTGCTGTCACTCTATCCTTTGCTGAAGGATCCAAACCCATGCAGAATAGGACAGAGAGATAGGAGTATAATTTGTTGAGTAATAATCAAGTTTCTGTGTGTAATCACCATTAAGGATCCAACTGCATGAGTCATAAGTCTATAACATCAGCTATAAAAACTCTAAATCATACTCAGATTGTGAAGGGCATGATCTAGAAGTGTCTATGATCTAGACTTCGACTTGTGAAGCAACCCTGATCCTCCCTTCTGAAAATAGAGCAAAGCAGCCATATTGCTTCACTTTGCTGTTCTCCAGAACTTCCTCTGGATATTAAAGGGAGGCTGTCAGATGATGGGAGGTGCCTTATTGAGGCAAGTCATGCCATCTGCTCCCTCAACAAGCTGCAAAGTGTCACCTTCATAATACTGAAGGGCTTCTTAGAGATAAATCAAAGCTAACTCACACAGGCCTAATACCATCCCAAGTTGGTATTTCCTTATAAATAGCTTTCTGCAATGACTGTCATGACCAGGTGGTAACCACCAAATATTATAAATATGCAACAGCTGTCATGCTATAATGTGAAGATCCATTTTGACCATTTTGAGGGCAGCTTCTGAAATGAGCGCAACCTAGGCTTTACAAAGGCTCTGAAGAGAAGAGGTACCCACTCTGCTACAGATTGCTCCCTAACAGTGGCATATTGCTAATTTGCAACCATCTCATCTGACACTGCATTTAACTATTATACTCCCCTTCCTTTGTAAACTCTTCAGAATTTCAGAAGCAGTTTCAAGCACAGACTCTAACAATCCCCCATCTTATCTCACAGACAAAATAAGTCATGCAAAAGTATTTACAAAAACAAACAAACAAATAAATAAATGTGAATGGTCAAGTATCATTTTACAATTGGGGAAACCTGAAGAAATGTGATAGATCACTGACATATTTTGCTGAACTTTTACAGTTCTATTCCATATTGCCTTTAAACATTTCAGTGGGCCTTGCAGATGGGATTCCCATCTGCACCCCATTAGCTATATTGCTGGGTACTGCATCAAGCCCAAAGAACGTATCAAGATTTATAGGCATAGAGCAGACAAAATGACCAATCGCTGTTAGAAGAATGTGTATAAATGACCCTTGGGGTAACATACTTC